CAGTACCTCAGGGTTTGTGATTTTGTCCTACCACTTATCCAAGTATTCTTCACGTGTGAAAGCTATTAAGCCGTCTCTCCTGGTGCAAATAGGTTGACCAAGTTTCACTGACATAAAGCAGAGTGCTGAGAACACAAGCCTGATAGTCAAGGGTTTTTGTTTTAATTGTGAGCTTTCTGTTCTCCCAAACTCTCTTTATCAGTCTGCTCATTGTTGTTACTGCCTTAACTATCCTGATGTTGATTTCTTGGTCCTGCGATAGTTTACTATTCACTGTAGAACCCAGATAGGTAAAATGGTCTACTGTTTCCAGCTATTCGCCGTCAGTGTAGACTGTAGGTCTGTCATTGACACCTTGCACCATAACCTTTGTCTTCTTTTTGCTGACTGTTAGTCCAAATTCACAGCATGCATCAGCAAAGGCAGATAGTAAACATTGCAGTTCCTCCTCTGAGTGGGTGGTTATTGTGGCATCATTTGCAAACAACACCTCTCTGATAAGTACCTTTCTTATCCTGGTTTTGGCCTTCAGCCAGCGTGCATTGTAAAGGCTGCCGTCAGATCGAGAATGAATGAAAATACCACCCTCCTGATCTCGAAAGGCATGTGTCAAAAGAAGTGAAAAGTATATTCCAAAGAAGGTAGGAGCAAATACACACCCCTTCTTCACTCCATGTTTGATTGAAAACTCCTCTGATGTTACACCATCATACATGTGTGGAACGACTCAATAATACTCAGTAGAGTAGGTGAACAATCTTCTTCAGTGTGTTGAACAGACCTTTTCGACTAACCAAATCAAATGCCTTAGTAAGATCAATAAAAGCAACATCCAGTGGTTGATTTTGTTCGCGGCATTTTTCCTGCAACTGTCGTAATGAAAATATCATATCAGTGGTAGATCGGTTCCCATGTAAGCCACACTGGGACTCTAGGTAAACGCGATCCCCCAGGATCTGGAGTCTTCGCAGAACAATTCTCGCAAGCACTTTTCCAACAGCACACAGCAGTGATAAAACCAAGCCTTAAAGTAAAATAAAGATCCATTTTTACGCCCTTAGGCGCATCATGCATATGGGAAGGGCACCCCATATTTTTACAGACCAATCGACACTAGGTGGGTAATGTGGTCAGCATTACGCCGGTTGTCTTTACTTCCCATAGGACAGCCATCCTGGTACCCATTTTAGGCTGGGTCGACTTGCGACGCCCCATACTATGATATTTCCTCTGATCTGACACATTTTGGCTCTGCCTGTAGTGTGTTTAGCCTCTGTGTATTTTGAATAAATTCATGAGGTTTCCTCTCCAGTCAAGGCTGGGCGTCTCGTTTTAATTGTACTTAGACTGCTGCTCTCCATCTCTGAATGTTGTCCTCCCACTTGTTTCATTGCTTCAATTTCGTTTTTCTTTCAACCCCCCCTGAAACCGTTGTATTTTGTTTCCATGAAATGACTTATTTTTCTGTAAACCTTTAGTTCCAGAAATTCAGTTCGATAGATTCTCTAAATTGTTCTCTAGACTTCTAGGCCAAACCAGCCGGAAATGTTTATCAGGTGTCCTTGAAAGTAACTGGAGACGGCATGATTTTGACACCCACTCCGGGTCAAGTGATCTATTCCACATGTGGATCCTGGGGCAGGTAGAGAGAATTAGCCTCACTTCTTCCATAGCAAGCATATCACAAGAGTCAACTATTTTTGGGGTGTCATTTGAAGTCAGTGTGCATCTGCCGAAGGGGCTTGGCTGCTCTTCTTGCCAAGGGATTTTTTTACGTGCACAATACAGTTCGTGTGCCGACACACCTCATTGCCATGCAAAAAGACTGTCAAGAATCTTCTCTCGTTGTCTTCCTCTATCCCTCCCTCCACAGATATTTCCAGTTCTCACATGTTCTATTTTTCCTCTTCTCATACCATTGCCGAAAAATTATGACTGTCTCCTTCTGATGTCTGTGATAAGGTGTCTTCGTCCAAGGTATTCTAAGCATTCTTCTGTAAAACCACATCTCTGAGGTCTCAAGAAATTGTTTGGCCTGCCTACCGATTGTCCAGGCAAGCAAGAATTCTTTTTCTAACTCCCAATGACAAGGACTTTTAGCACAAGATGTTCATTTTATAAAATGCAGTTTTTGTCTGTCCTATTCTGTTTCTTATCTCAGTAATGCATCTTCCATTTGATGTTATCCATGTGCCCAGATACTTAAATTTCTGTACTTGTCCCAAAATAACACTATCCACTTTAAAAAAAAAAAAAATACATTTAGGAATAATTCTTTTCTTTGATACCACCATTACTTCTGTCTTCCCATTATTCAAACTGAGGCCCATTCTTTCACCACATTGTCTTTCATTTCTTGTAGTTCTGACTTGTTGCTATCAAGACTGTCATCGGCATAACGTCAATTGTTTATATTGTGCTCACCAACCACAATTCCGGTCATATCAATTAAAGACATTATATATTCACTGTATATTGAAAACAAATCAGGTGACAGTACACATCCTTGTCGTACGTCCCTCTTTTATGCTTTGAAATGTACCTAAACAGTTGTTAGTTAATTCTTATAGCTGCTGTTAGCTGCCAATACATATTCTTTATTATTCGTAGATCTTTCCCATCAATGTTTAATTTTTCTTACCATTTGATTACTTCTCCATGCTTCACAGTCAAATGTTTTTTGTATAGTCTATGAAGCATAAGAACAAATCAGTCTTTACTTCTACAGCTCTTTCTGACAATGTCTTCAGGATGTATATGGCATTGTTTGTACATTTTCCTTCTACAAATCCACATTTTTCATGGCTGATTTCAGGTTTAATTTTGTTTCTTATTCTTCTCAGTAAAATCTTAGTCATGCGACTCATAAGTCTTATTGTGCAATGGTCTTCACATTTTAAAGTGCCTGGTTTCTTTGGCAGAACTATAAATATGGATTTTAAAAGGTCATTTGGAATATACTCACTTTTATAAACATTTAAAAGATTAGTTATTATTTCAACTCCAAAATCTCCCAGTGCTTCGATTTCTTTCAGTAATTAGTCTGGCCGGGGTGCTTTTCCTTTCTTCAAATGATGTAATGCATCCTCAACTTCTGCAGTCATTATTGGCAGACCATCATTGTTGGTCTGCAGTTCTACACCTGGTCTATTAACATCACACCATTTTCACATGTAATCTTTCCTGTTAACATATTTATCTGTTGGTAGATGGAAATATGAGTCTTTCCAGTGATTTTCTCCAATTTCTGTACATATTTGATTCAGCCAGGCTTCTTTAGCCACTTTGCATATGTTCACTATTTCTTTTTGTATTCTAGAGTATTATTCTTTATCATTCTTTCATCCAACTGCAGAATTTCGGTTGACATCCATTTCTTTTTTTTTTTTGCAACTCTTTAGTTTGATGGGATTGTCTCTTTTGATGTCTGCTGAATTGACTCACGCAACATATCCCACTGTTCATCAATAGTCTGTATAATTTCCATTGCATTATACCGGTTTTGTACAGTGACATTGTACTGTTCCTTAATTTCTTTATCTGTTCTAAGAATTTCTGTTCCTAAATTTCAACTTGATGTTCTGTGGTGTTATTTCTAATGTTCTTTAGTTTTATTATAATTTTTCCTACAACTAAAACATGGTCACTACAAGCATCTGTATATTAATTAAAATACAAATCTTGAGATCTTTTCTGTGGCAACATGGTTACGAGACCTGGACTCTCAATCCCAGAGGAGAAAGACTGGAGCTTCTGAATTCAAATGTTACAGACAAATCAGAACAACATGGATTAAGAAGAGGAAATCCCCCGTGTGGGTTCCGGGGCCCTACTATGGGCAAAACAAGAATAGACCCACTGCCTACCCAAAAACATGTCGTAAGAGTGGACTAATTGGGAGCTTCCTTCGAAGTCGGAGTGCATCTGCCTGAGAGGCAAGGAAACAGACTGCATACAGATCTGTCAAACGGATGCACACACAACACTCAGGTTCTGGAACAGGACTGCAGTCCAGAAGTGGACGAACAACCAGAATTTTCCGCCGGAGTTCACAGCTGGTGAACGCGAAGAAGAAGAAGAGGAAAAACACTGACATTATACATGAGTTAAAAACCTGGGAGAGAAATGGTTTATAAACAGTGTCCTGTCCTGAAAGTTGAAGTATTTTTGCCACATTAAACGTCATGTTGGCTTGTAAAAGATGGGTGTTGGAGGGTACAGTTTGTAGAAGGCCAGGCAGAAGTGGAACCTCCACGAAGATGGATATAGTACATTGAATACGCATTAGAAATAAAAGCACATGGGTTTGGAGAGCTGGCTAGGGAAGGGGATACTTTCAGATGTGCCATGAAGAGAGCCATGTTGTATTAGGGAAATGCTGATTGATGATGACAGCAAATTATGTTTATGGCTACCCAGAAATACTCCACACTGATAACATCTAGCTCTGCTGGCACTCTCCACACATACAAATAGAAAACAATGCAAACACAACCAGAAAGACAAAGTTAGTTTCAAAATTTATGTTTAGAATTCATTTTTCTGTAAACAGCACAAGGATCGTGACAGCTCAACTTTACACAACAGAGCAGTTCACACCACACAATATCAAAGTGTGCTGGCTTTGAATACCAATTAAACAAACATTCACCATTGTGAATGTAACCAGCGCTTCAATCATCCCACTTTACTTGCCACGTAAGTTTCACATTTTGTTACTCTATGTCTAGCAAACAAATGTTCGAAAAATGAAACTTATGTCACAATTTCTTGATTTAACAACAAATGAGCATATAGAATGCTTACCATACTATAGCCATCTGCACTACAACTACAATCTTAATTCTCATACAGACGAATGACAAGATACACAATAAACCCCAATTTTGTTTTAAAAGTACTAGGGAAAAAACACTACAACTGATGAATTTTAAACAGCATTAGTTAATGATAATATTAAATGATGTGCTCTGAAAAACAGCTGTTTAAATAAAACTAAACTACTGTCCGAGTCCTGCACGCCAGGTGATGTACAGCTCTTTGAATTTGTCGAAGCCTGCGAGCACACCAGCGCCAGCGACACCTCGGAGGATGTTTGCCCCTGCTCCCTTCATTAATGACATGAAGCCTTCGCTCTTGATAATCTTAACAGCGCAGTCAATGGACCCCTTGTATTTGACGGCTTGGCCAGAGGTCATCATCATTCGTCGCCTGATGGTGTCAATGGGGTATGACAGCAACCCTGATGAGACAGTAACTGTGTAGCCCAGAAGGAAGGACAGGAACACGCTAGCATCTTCTGCCATCAGAATTGGTTTCAAGCTGTCGTACAGGCCAAAGTAGAAGCCTCTGTACACGACAATGCCCACGCAGGAGATCACAAAACCTCTGTAGAGGCCGACAAAGCCATCAGACTTCAGGGTCTTGGTGTAGACATCAATCATACCATTGAACTGGCGCTCGCCACCACCCTTGCCAGCTGATTTGGCATCGTTTGCCAGACGGGTTCGGGCATAGTCGAGGGAATAGACAAAGCACAAGGAAAGGGCTCCGGCTGCCCCACCTGAGAATATATTCTTGGTAAACTTCATTGCATAGGACTCATTGGGTGCTGACTTGAAAGCAGCTTTGATTGTGTCCTTGAAAGCAAAGTTGAGAGCTTGTGTGGGGAAATATCTCAAGCAGTTGGCCAAGTTGCCTCTCCAGAAGGGTAGAATACCTTCTGTTCTGAAGGTACGTACTGTGCAATCTATCACCCCTTTGTATGGCTCTGACAGTCGGCCCGCTTTGATCATCTCATCTTGATTCTGGACAAGAAGCTTGATTCTTTCAATGGGTGCAGCAGCTGTTTTTGAGATGACGGCAGCTGCCCAGAAAGGGCAAAATTTTCTGCAAATCCAAGCTTGGCTTTCTTCTGTCCTGACATCTGAAAGTATAACGGCAATAGTTAATTATTTAAAGGGACAAGTAAAGCAAGAAAAGTGAACAACAGAAGTGCTGCAGCAGTGTTATAAAGCCAGATTACCATGCAACTCTTTGCTTTGACCAGATTTTACTAGAACTGACAGCCTAAAAAAAAAAGTGCTGACTGGTACATGTGGTGGTCACTCAAAAGTATTTTGACAAGTGTCAAGAACAAAGTAGCTTTATGTGTGAAGCAGACAAATGTAGAGAGGCAAAGCAGACATAAAGATGAGGAGAGGAAACAGCTGCGAAACATTAGAAATCATGTAATAAACATTAGAAAGATGACAGTGGCTATCCTCCGAATAATGGTCCTAAATTATCGCGGCGGAAAATATACCCTAACAGGGCCTCAGTCATGTGTCAATTGTGCACTTCCGGGGACTATAACGCCACCGCTGAATTTCAAAGCGTGAGCGGCGTGGGGGACATGCTCGACGGTGGCGGATGTCGCCGGAAGTGTACAACTGACACGTGAACGAGGCCCTGTTAGGGTGTATTTTCCGCCTCGATAATTTAGGACTGTTTTTAGGAGGATAGCCATGACAGCCAAAGCCTGCTTTATCACAACCAGTCATACCTTAAAATAAAAATTTGTTTAAAAGATACAGTATCCAAGACTATACTATATATTACACCCTATCTATACTCCTACGTATAATATATATCCCCAGCACAGAAAGATCATTATTACAATACAACTGACAGGTGACCCACTGAACATTTGTTTGGACCAGATTTGGCCGTGGGTCACCAGTTGAATATCCCTCTTTTACCTGGCATATTCTCAAATCTTTAAAAGGCAGCATTACCAGGACACAGCAACTCAGTTACCCTACTGTTGCTTTCTAATTTCATTTACTGTTGTGAGACCATTTTTATACCTATGGCGCAGTGTGCGGACATTTTTACAGACTAATCAGCACTAACCGATTATGGGATCTAAAACACATCAGCTGCATTTACTTTACTTTCCATTTTCTGGTGCCCTTTACAGGCTGAGTCGATGGTGGGGGGAGGGGGGAAATCACAAATCAGCTCTCCTTTGAACTTACCCCCAAAATGGCGGCCATAATATGATGCCACATTCTGGCCATAAAATCCAAAAATCTGAACGACGGTGTTCACGTATATCTAAAATAGAGGACTGTCTGCCAAGGAACAAATCTCGGCAAAACTAGGATTACTTGACAATCAATATCACTGCACACAGTAGTAGCAACAATAAATACCGACCGTTAACAATTTCGAGCGTTTCTGCAGACGATACTAGTAGACGATATTAGCGACCGTTGACCACTTTCGAGACATTACAGACGATGAAAGCCAATTAGCAATACTGTGTTCTTCCGGTTGGAGGATTTAGCAGCGATAAATGTCAGACTTGTCGGCGTGCGTCAAACGCGATTAAACTCATCGCTGAGCGTATCCCCCGCGCCGCGGATGGGGGGCCTAAACTAGATACCTAGGACTCACGAGTAAAGTAATTGGAGGAAGTTGCAGGAGATGCGGTAGCTGCTGCTCGTAAGTCCCAGCCATCTAGTTAGGTTCCAGCCATCTAGTTTAGTCCCCATCCGCGCCGTGCGGGATACTGTCGGCGGTGAGGCACACTCGCAGAAGCAGGTCGCACAATAACGTATCGCCAAGACCCTGTTAGAGCATTTGTTTCGTTATGCGGATCCGGCACATATATTTTTAATAGAACTGAGCCCCATTCGGATATTTTTGGATATGTTATGGCCAGAAATTGGCCAATTTAGCTCTTTCGGACGGCATCATAATACGGCCGCCATTTTGGGGGTAAGTTCAAAGGAGAGCCCGCATTTCTTACACACTGTGGGTAGGGTAAGTATCAAGTATCAATATCCATGTAACAGACAAGAGGGAGGGAAAGAGGGAGTGTGTGAAGGAGCTGGGGAAACTACTCTTCTCAAACAGGTTAAACTACAGTTCAATTGTCTATTTAAATCTGGATAAAAGATAAAACTCAAGATGACTTTCAAATCTCAAGGTGGTCATAAACCAAGAACATTTTATTAACTGTTCTTTCAACTTGGCTGAGAGATAAATAGTTGCCAAATTGCAAAAGTTAGTCTTGACATGGCCCAGTGGGGGTACATGTGGTTGAAATATCAAAAGTTAGTGCACCATTTTAAGAACTTTTTTTTTTAATTCACAATAACTGTACATCCTTACAGATAAAACCTTTACTGATTCCCAACTGAGTTCACAATACAACTACAGCTTGTGATTTACCGTATAATTTTTATACAGCACAAAGTATGGTTTTTTTTTAAGGGTAGAGGGGGGTCAATTTTTAGATAAGCATATTGAGTCTTTTTTTCACCCTAAAAGAAAATCCTAAAGTTCCCGGTCAAGCTTAATATTCTAGGGGTGTTATGGGTTGGGGTTAGAGTTAGGTCGGGGTTTCTGAGCTGGTTGGCGTTGATCAAGATCCTAATCCGTAACACCCTTAGAATATTGAACTTTTCCTGGGACTCCAGGGACTGTTTAGGGTAAATAAATTAAGTACCAAAATTTTCATTGATTAATTAACCCAGTTATGTTGAACAGGGCCAACAGTTTGTACCTAGACAAGAACCTCCCTTTCGCGCAGGTCTGTGGCCCTATGGAGGAGAAGAGGTGTCTTTCCTCCGAATAATGGTGCCAAATTATCAAGGCCGAAAATATACCCTAACAGGGCCTTAGTCACCTGTAAACTGCGGACCTATTTCTGGCGACTACACAGCATACAGCGGAAAAGCTTCCGCCGAGTTATAAGTCACTGCCAAGCGTATCTCCCGCACGGCGTGGAGCTATACTAGATAGCTGCCACTTATGAGCAGCAGCTACTGCATCTCATGCAGCTTCCTCCATGTATTTGCTCCTGAGTCCCAGCCATCTAGTTTAGCCCCACTCCTCGCGCAGTGCGCGGGAGATACTCTCGGCGGTGGCCGTATAGTCGCCGGAAAGAGATCCGCAATTTACATGTGACTGAGGCCCTGTTAGGGTACATTTTCGGCCTCGATAATTTGGGACCGTTATTCAGAGGATAGCCAAAGAGGTTATACCCCCCTCCCCCGACCCACCCCCTTCCCCCAACAAGCAAGGGTGCACGAAAGTTTCAAAGATGGTTGCAAGCAATTCTGAAAATAAGAGTGCATTTATTTGTAAATCAGTAAGATCTTAGTTCAAATCTGCATCAGGTATTTTCATCTTAATTACATTTAGCACACACACCCCCCCCCTCCCCCCACTTAAAAAAATGTGATTAAAAAGCAAGGTCAAAAAGGAAAATCCCAAGCATTATCAACAAGAACTGAAACTGGGAGAAAAACATTCACTTAAATCGAAGTGTTAAATAATGGCATTAGCTTATTTGTAAATACATTTATGTGTGTGTGAGTATATATATATATATATATATATATATATATATATATATATATATATATATATATATAATATTTACACACACACACACATAAATTGCTGGGGGGGGGGGTGTATCATTTATGGCAGTTACAGTGAAAACCTAATTTTTTAAAACTGCTTGAAACTACCTATAAATTTCCTTGCGCCCTTGATGGAGGAGGGGAGGGGGTATGCCCGGTATGCTCCCCCTCCTCCCAGACACACATGTGAACTATGGTTCTTGTCTAGGTACGAATTTTTGGCTCCCCGCTGGACATACATTAACTGGGCGGATGCACAATTTTGCAGACGAAAGAACACCTGACGACTGCAGCACACACACAAAAATAGTAAAGATGGTTTCCCCTTCCAACAAGTAACAACACGTACTAGACTGGTATATTATGCTTATAATAAACTTTAATTAACTGTCTTTAAATTTAACAAATGAACATACAAATTTGTTGGAAGATTTGACCGATATGATCTTGACACTTCCGCCATTTCAGCTTCAAGACACAGCGTCTTGACACAAGATCGAAAGACTAAGTACTGCAACACGCTAGCATTCCTAGCGACAAAAACGCAATAAATTTTTAATGTTTCACAATATACTCGCACAGTACTTAATTTTTACCTTTATGTGTTGTGAGTGATCAAAGTAAATCAAATATTGGGCCGGCTGCTTCGCCTGACTTCGCCGTACACCACGTTGTAATAATGGCAGAGAATGCAAAGAACCAAACCGAGGCCGGTCCTCTATATAGAAAACCGGGACCCTGAGTCATGTGACCAGAATACAAACACCGGATTGGATAACAGTGAAGGTCGTCTTTAGGTCACTCTAAAATTGCACTTGTGGGTTGCATGTCTGACAGGGGTGACACCATGCCTGGTGTTTGGTGGTGGTTGTTTCCATCCAGCATTGCTGTTTGTAGGACTAACACCATCAAGAATGAGAATCAAACAGGAGCAAATCACATAAACCGTTTTCAACCATATAACAGTTTTGTTTTAGGACACCCCGAAAAGTAAAGGTAACGGATCCTTTTCCACTGACGCATAGGAGGAAGACAACGACGTCTGTATAAAAATCATTAATCAGTATGCTGCGGGTGACAGGGCATATACGGGTATGCGTGGTGTGCTATGATGACGATTCTTTAATCAGTAATTTCACGCCATCAGGTGTATTGGCATATACCTACACTTTGTAGACCAAGCAAAACTCGGCGAGTGATATGGTCAACTGATTTTACTTCTCAGGATTTCGCCTGGCACAACTTTATGGCTGTGTCAACCTGGGAGCCAATTTCCTTTCTAAAGGTGAAAAACCGCCGGCTGTAATCGGTTTTAAACCAACAACATTCGGATCCGCAGTGTCTAGCTGCTACACCACGGTAGCTCTCTTAAGGAC